TCACCAAACAACTCCAGCCCTACGTACAAAACTCACTCCACTTCATAGAAACAATAAAGAAACAAAACCTACAACCAGTGACCTACTCGTGAGTTTCGATGTCATATCCTTCTCCACCCAAGTGCCTATAAAAGAAGCCTTGACAGCTATCCAGAACAAACACAACCCCCCTAAGCACATCCTGCACCTGACCAACCACTGCCTAATATACTTCATCCATAATGGACAAAGATACAAACAGATAGAAGGAGCACCCATGGGATCACCCCTCTCACCTGTCATCGTAAACTTATACATGGAACATTTTGAAACTAACGCCTTAGATAAATCTGAACACAACCCCAAACTCTGGCTTAGATATGTTGATGACACATTCGTGATTTGGCCACATGGGAAAGAAAAACTGGACAACTTCCTCACACATCTCAATAGCCTACACCCCAAAATACAATTCACTATGGAAATAGAAGCCAACTTCCCTTTCTGTCCTAATCAAGTCCTAATCTACAAAAAAACCAATGGCTCCCTAGGACATGCCATCTACCGGAAAAAAAACACACACCAACTGCTACTTAAACGCACAATCCCCTCACCATCCTGCACAAACCAACTCTGTAGCCAAGACCCTCATCTCCAGAACCAAATGCCTAGCCAACAAAGACCACCAACTGAATTACACACTCTCATAAACGTATTAATCTCCAACGGATTCAACCCCCTGCCTAGGCAGGATATATACACCAGTTCAGACTAATGGTTATCCAGCCTCTTCTTAAAAACTTCCAGTGTTGGAGCATTCACAACTTCTGGAGGCAAGTTGTTCTACTGATTATTTGTTCTGTCAAGAAATTTCTTCTTATTTCTAGATTAATTATATATGTATATGAAGATTTATATGTGTGTGTGTGTGTGTCTGTGTGTGTCTGTGTGTGTACACAGTACATACATACATCCTTTCTGATGACTAAACAGTTGACTGAAGTGGTAATATATGTAAATTATTTCTGGCTATATTTAGTCTGATTGGGTCCCTGAATAACTCTTTCCAAAGCTGGGTGACTTTGATCAGGGGCTTCTCCTAAACCTTTACATTCTGAAGTAATTGGAGGCTAAAACAAGGAAACTGAGATGTGTAAGCAATCACAAAAATTATAGGAAACACCTGTTTTTACTTCAATGACTACCTGCAAGCTAATTGCATGTGTTTATTTGGGAAGACAATAATTGCTCAGATAATAATGCATAACACATTTACACTCTTACTGCAGACAAACATTAAGAATGGCTAAGCGCACCTAAATTGATGAAACACAAACATCTCCTCCCATCTGTCCAGGCAATTGAGTAGATATCTAATGACACCATACATTACTGCCTTTGTGTATTGCGAGCTGACAGGAAGCAGCTGGAGAGTCACCTCAAACTTTCCATTTTTAGCAATCTACAGTTGTTTATCCCAGATTAATTCAACTACAAGTCAGAGAGGGAGGCTAATATGGAAAACAGAGGAAATACGTATTCCTCTGGGAAGGGACAACATTCATTCAAGAATATTGGTTGTGTGATGTGTTATATTATATTTCTTCTTTCTGACTTTAAATGCTGTCCAGGTACTGACTAAAAACACTGCCTTAAAACAGCAAGATTGCAAACATCTTTTTAGAGCTGAGACATTCTGAATGCTCTCTGTTTTTAGTTAGCAGTATAGTGAATATAAAATTTTCTACTTCTGTGTTGGCTGATTGATGGGCATAAGCTTCAGAATTGCAAAGGAGAGTTATAAAAAGATTGGTTTAATTAGTTTTAAGTAAGGGAGGCTATTTGTATTACAGTAGACATGAATGTGATTGTTTTGGCAGGAGATTTGAGATCAGAGCAGTGAATGGAAAGGCATATTTCATGAATATTTCTGAGTATAGTGGAAGACACATGCTTCTTCTTAAGAAGTCTCTCTCTTCTTAATTTTGGATGTCATTTGTCCTCACTCCCACTCCCATCCAAGGGATTTGGACATGTGCGTTTTTCATAACATCTTAAGCAAGCAAAATTAAATCTTTAATATATCTTGAGAATGACATTTGTGACATTACATTTAGCTCAGTTCTCATTTTTATTCTAAAACAAATGCCACCACTATTGAATGAGCATGCAAGGAACTATTTTTATTAGATTCCTCTGTAATTCATTTTTATTTATTCAGAATGAAAGGAAGAAGTTCCTCAAGTAGCAAATTACATTCTATGATTGCCATTTTAAGTTTTCCAAGATGGTCGTCCTTTTACTGGGAAATTTAAGGTTTTGGTTCTAAAGAAAACATTGTTCCAATATATTGAGTAATGTACGTTTTTAAATTTGATTTTGACTATTAATTTATAACTTTTATCTTGTTTTTAAATCTGTTTTTAATCTGTGTTTTTATTGAGGTGTTTATATTGTATTATTATGTTGTAAACCACGCCGAATCACCTAGGTTAGATTGGCAGCGAAGAATATATATAAATAAATAAATAATAAATAGAATAGAATATTGAGGCTTTAGATATTTAGGAGAGATTTCACTGGTTTCTCTTCAATTAACAATTTTCATAAATGGTTGATATATTCCACATTGGAACAATTATTAATTATTCTTTTATTCTACTTCAATTTCATTCATATCTAAACATAGATATTAACAGGAGAAATAAAATGGTAGATTCATATAGGGTATGTGATGCACCATTTGCCCATAGGGTGGGCTCAACAAGGACAAAAAGAATGTAAAAATATATCAATCCTGCCCTTTGGATGGGTGTGAGCCACTGAGGCTCATAGAAAATGGGCAGGATTTGAATAGCAATACTGTTCCCCATTTTGTCCAGTTTGAACCCACTGGGGGAGCCCCTGAATTCCCTTTTCTTATTTTACACTTCTTTGTTATTTTGTGTCCTAACTGGTGGTCACAAAGAACATGGACAATTGTATTATGAAATCAGTGTGGAAGGAGGTGAACTTTTTAAAAAAAAATGGAAGGGGGAATGTTTAAAACAGTTATTTTGTCCGTTAATTGATCAAATCTGAAAAATTCATCTGATCATATGAAGTTTGAGCACCTTAAGTCTTTTAAAATTTTATTTTACCTTTAAACCCCTTCTCAAAATACCAACAACTACCGGTATTAAATTACATGTGTGTGTGATATTTATATATAATTTATTATATATAATCTCTGCTGCACAGAGGTCTCTTCTCATATTCAGAGGTGTGAGGAGGAGAAAGATGAAGGTACAGATATTGAGAAAAAACTTCATGTTTGGTGTTATTTCTGATTTAAATTACTGAAGAAAGTTTGACTCACACAGAATTCAGTAGGATTTACTTCACTCAGAGGATTATGCTGTCACTTGGTCATATAATTCCTAAAAAGGTAAAGGTAAAGGTTCCCCTTGCACATATGTGCTAGTTGTTCCTGATTCTAGGGGGCAGTGCTCATCTCCGTTTCAAAGCCAAAGAGCCAGCACTGTCCAAAGACGTCTCCATGGTCATGTGGCTGGCATGACTAAATACTGAAAGCACATGGAATGCTGTTATCTTCTCACCAAAGATGGTTCCTAGTTTTCTATTTGCATTTTTACATGCTTTCGAACTGCTATGTTGGCAGAAGCTGGATCAAGTAACAGGAGCTCACTCCATTACTCAGCGCTAGGGATTCGAACCGCCGAACTACCAACCTTTCTGATTGACAAGCTCAGCGTCTTAGTCACTGAGCCACCGCATGCTTACATATAATAATTCCTGCATGTTACAAATGTAAAATATATATTATACACTTATTTTTTTTATAAAATACATTTACGAAGATATAAATTGATAAAATAAATGCACAAACCTGTAGAACTGGTAGTTCTCGAAAACCACAAGAAAACAGCTGCACTTTAAAATTCACAATCTACACTTCTAACCAACAGTAGGAACCAATTAATATAAAACAAATTACTATAAAATAAACATATGGGAGTTCTTTATAATTGATACTCTAGGGTCATAATCCTTTTATTTAATTTGCCTTTTGTCTTTTAAGTGCTCCTTTCTTCTTTTAAAATAACTTTGTCAGCCAGTGAGGTTTTTTAGGCTGGTTGCCACCAATTAATTACTTGGTCTTTTGTTCAAAATGTTTGCTACCTGGCCTTTTGCAAAGAACTCTATTTAATGTACTCTTCTGTTCAGTTCCGTTACAGATGAGCCTTGATTCCTGCTCCAGGAAACAATCCTGTTCTAATGTTTACTGTTCAAATACCCTGATTATAGACCATGAAGATGACTCAAATTATGACATTCATTTAACTTTAGTTGAGGAAGAAAAAATCAGACTAAGCCTACGGTAGTTTTAGAAAGCCAATGTGCCTTTCAATTCAGGCATTAGATATTATTTTATCTTCTTAAATAGAAAAAGAACCATAAATTCAAAATATCTTAAATTGCATCATATATAATTTCTAAAATTTTCTTGTTTTTACCTTTGGTTTCAGAAGTAAACATGACCATCCTTTTAATATGAATACAAAATTAGCCTGTCGTAATTTTTTTTCCTTACAGTAATAATCAGATTAATTCTTTTTCTCTGAAATTTATTTATATTAATTTACACTGTTTGTTTTTAGAACAATTTTAAAAGAATGCTATTCCTTCAGGAAACTGCTGGCATATATAATGTGAAAGCCTACACTGACAAGATAAAAATAACTGATGTCACTGCCCCACCCCAAATGCTAACTTTCTACATGGAGGAGTTTTACTTAGCATGTATTTTACTACATACGTTCCCCAATGAAGCAGACTTGAATGATAGTATCATTCCTAGTGTTTACAATAGTTCTTTCTTCATGATTAGGGCAGCCAAATATTTTAGTTATTTAATAGATCTGAAAAGGACTGAAATGGCCATTTGCAGGAAGGCATTGTCCTCAGGAACATTAAGCTAAATAAAATTCTTCCTAATCCCAATTGTCATTTTCTCATAGATTCTTGTTTGGAGGGGAAACTGGGGAGAAAAGGTAAGGGTAAATCAAAACTTAATTATTGTGCCAGTTTATCCTAGTCATTTTGATTGATGTTTGATTGATTATGTATTGTCAAGTTGTTGTCAATTCTTAGTGACAGTGATCAATAGATTGATTTTCTCTGTGAAGATCTTTCAAGTCTTCCAATGGTGCACTCATTGCTGCTATAATTGAGTCTATCCATCTTGCTGCTGGTTGTCCTCTTCTTCTCTTTCCTTCTACTTTTCACAAATTTAGAGTCACCTTTACTGAGTTATAATCTTTGTATAAAATTGGATAGTTTGAATCTGGTCATTTGTGCCTTGCATGAGAACTCTGAGTTGATTTGTTTGATAATCCATATGTTTGCTTTCTTGGCTATCCATGGTATTCCAAGAAGTTTCAAAAGCAGAAATGCTATTTCTATTGAGCTTCTTCAAAATCCTTGTGGTACACCATTGCCCAAATCCTTGTGGTCAATAGTGTACCAAGTGCCTTTCACACCTGGAACAGAGACTGTTTTAAACAGCCTCCTCCTCCTCTGTCCTTGCTGCACCACATTGATGACTGCCAATTGATTGGCATGCGGGAAACAGAAACCCAATTCCACTGATCTTCAATGACTTCCACATGGCTGTTTCATCATTCCCAAGACATTGCACTCTCTTATTGCCTGCACCTAAGGTGGACTACCATTACCACTTCTCCCTTGGTACACAACTGCCCAAACAGGAACAATCTGAGAGCAATCCAAGAACAACTGTTAAAATAATTCCAACTTTTTCATATAAACACAAATACACTCATGCAGGAATCACAAAATCTCCAGAACCATAAAGCCTACAAACTTAAAATTTGGCGTATGTGTTCCTCTTGGCTTCTAGGTACTCGGTAACAAAGGACGTTTCGAAATGACCATCGGAGCATTAGTATTTCATATATTATTATTAACACACTCTGATGCTAAGAAGTTAGATGTTCTATTCTCCCTCCCAACCTGAAAACTTGGATATGGGCGTGGGCAGTGTGTGACTCATCTGGCCTGCTGGCTGGGAGTTTGTATTGTAAACTCATGTGTGTGAGTGTGGGTTGTTGTTGTGAGGGATTGACACGCAGGAGCCATNATATCCTGCAGATAAAGTAGAATGCCAAGATTACAATCCCCTTAAGAGTTGGAAAATGGTCTCTGAATGAACCGTCTCTAGAGAAAAAAAGGCTTTAAAAATGACTTAGTGAACCCAGCATTAATGTTTTCCACTAAGGAGTATCCAGATGCTCTTTCTCTAAAGTTCAGCTATTAGTCAAAATATAATAGTATTTCCCCATCCTCTGCAGAGTAATTACCAACAGAGTAATTACTTGGGAGGTCAAAATATGCCTTTGGGGCTTGGTTTCCATTTCCCAGCTTTGACATCCCATTCTATATTGTACTTCTATGAATTCTGGCTTGAGTGTTCTGCTTATTTATTAATTTAAATTGGAATTGCAATTTTAATCTGTTTAGAAAAACAATTTATCCATAATTTGAAATTAAAGAAGGGAATGCTATCTAATATGTCAAGTTCAAAACGTTATATATTCTAACCATTTCCCAAATATATTCATGATATTTTATATAGTGTATGAAGCAAGTCCTATGAATGCCATAGAAAAGATTACAGAATAGAAAGCAGAAAGCTTTTTTGTATAGGAAGGATTTAATATTCCCCAAGGATTTGTTGTAGAGCTGATGCTTTCCAAATTGTGCATAATTGAACTGAAAATTGACAAACTGTTCTGATAAAACAATTTAGGATAGTTAAAACAAGAATGGAAAGCACCAAGAGGATCTTTTCTTACTTGAAAACATGGCATTAATATAGTAAATAAATGCAATTCAGTGTAAACAAGTAGGGTAACATATAATTGCATATTATACAGTATATGATGATGCAGTCTGATCTGGCAGTGAGAAAGCAGGAGTTTGGGGCTACTGAAAAAAAAACAGAAAAGAAATGCCATGCCCAAAAGCATTAAAAATAAAATTACCAAAGTCTTAATGTCTTTATGCAACTCTTTAGTACTAACTCACTTGCAATTTTGTTATTGTATCGGAGATGTCACCATTATCTCAAAAAAAAACCAACCCAAATCTAGTGAAGCAAATTTCTCCCTGCAAATCCAAATTACTTCACAATATTATTACATATTACTTGTTTATGAACAGACAGAACAGAATAGAATGTCTCTGGTGCATAAGCTCTCAGTGTACATATAAGCAACGTGATAAATCATGATTATAATCATGATTCATCCTAAATCATAAGATACAACACTCAGTGAAAGTCATAGGACACTAAATAAGCAATCAACATAAATTATACTAGGGTACTAAATAAACAATTAACATAAGTCATAAGTTGCAAGAAACAAAGTTATTGTCAGCCTCTATATTGCTTGCTTGGTATTGGCTGCCATAGTAACAGGTGGGAGGGGTTTCAGTATTTGGGAGGGGAATCGTGATGGAGGAGATTTCTTGGGATGAAGAGGAAGTTTTGTTATAACCATCTTCTGTGCATGCTGAATGGACTTGTTTAGGTCTGGTCAAGGTCAACTGTCTCTTTATAAAAGATGGATAAAGTAACATGAAGATGCACCCCACACAACGCCCTTGTGGGGCTGGAGATTGGACATTCAGCACTTGTTGGGGGGGAGGGATTTGGGTAAACTTTTGATATGTACAATTTTGCACCTTTAGCCTCAGATTTTGCTTTACTTTCAATGCTATCAGTTCATATCCAGTAAAAGTACCTTTTCTCTAAAACAATGGAGTTGGGGGTTTCCTTCCTTGGATTTTGAGGGAGGCACATCTGAGATCTTAATGAAGCAAGATCTCTTTATCAGCCATCCCAGAGTTAACACTACTGAG